AAAAAGTATTTGACGAACTTGATGTGCATAAGTTTGGAGCTATAGTAACTGATGGTGGTTCAAATTGTACAGTTGCGTGATGATTAATTTCTGAAAAATATCCAAATATTTTAAATTTGCGCTGTATTGTACATTGTCTGAATCTAATTTCTAATGATATTTTAAAGCATAAATTTGCTAAAAAAATTCTTTATCAATGCTCTACGATCGTTAACTTCTTTAGTTCATCATATCAATTATATTCTTTAATTATAAATAAAAATGTATATGGTGATGGATTAAAAAAATATACCAAGACCCGCTGGACTAATGCATATGAATGTATCTATTCAGTATATTGTCACAAACTATCTTTAGAAGAGGTAAACATATTTTAAATGTATAATATAATTTTATTATTTTAATTATTTTAATAAATGTATTTAAAGATTTTAGATCAAAATGCGCATTTATTCAATAACAAAACTGGAAAAATTGTCAAAACATATATAAAATCCTGTGGATTTTTTGACAATATCTTAGATATTTCTAATGTTTTAAAACCAATTAGTAATACTATTGTGTGTCTTGAAAGCAAAACTGCTAATTTGGCTAACTGTTATTTAGGTTATATTAAATTAGCTATTGCTATTAAAAATATTTTTCAGGATCAGAATTTAATGTTTTATCGAAAATGTACTTCAATTTTTAATGAAAGATTTCGTACATTCGACTATGATGAATATCTATTAGCATATTATTTACATCCTGAATATCGAGGTTTGTTTTTAATTTATTAAATTTATTAGAAAATTTATTAGTTTATACATGATGTTTATATATGGGTATTAATTAATTGATTTACAAGTAAACCAAAAATTAAACCTAATTTAATGTTAGCTTAGGATTAGAAAAGATTATAATTTATGCTAAATTTTTTAAAACTCAAAAGTGAGTTTTATATATATCTGTATACAAACACCATGTACAAATAGTAATTATCTATTTAAGTTTTTATTTAAAAATTATAGGTGCTGGAATAAAACAATCACAATTTGCTTGAATAGCTGGAATTGCAGGCCATTTATGGACTAGAATGGTTGAATCAAAAATTAAAAAAGGTGATTTAGAGATATTAAAAGCACAATTACGTAAATATGCTTGCAATAAAGAACCTTATAATAGATCTTATATATCATCTGTCGATAGTCCAACTTGATGGTGGAAAACTACAGGTAATGGTACTAAAGATAAATTAGGTCCACTTTCTTTTTTAGCTGTTAAACTATTTTCAGTATGTCCTCATACAGCAAGTTGTGAGCATATATGGTCACGTTGTGGATGGATTTTGGGAGATCAACGTAACAAGTTGGGAACAAGAAATTTAGAATCAATGGTAAAAATAAGTTCTTATTTAATATCAAATGCAAAACAAGAATTACACTTTTATGGGTTGAAATTAACAGAAGAGAAAATACAAACAGTTTTTCAGGATATTGATTTGTTTTCTGAAGATGATGAGAAAAAAGATTTTGATGATTTGAACAAATCCGAAGATTCTGTTGATTCTGAAGTGGAAGATCAAGACTTGGAGATAGAAAATTTAATAACTTTAAATGATATTGGGTCAAATAATAATGAAGAAGATATTAATGATGATAATAATTTAGATGAGGAATTGGATAGCAATGAAATTGAAAAATTTGACGAAGATAAATTTGGTGCAGAGTTTGAATCAATATTTGATAATTAAATTTAGGATCTTTTGCAATACAGGTGACACGTATTCTAAAACAATTGATTAATAATATATTTTATTAATATTATTATCTATACTGCAAGAGATCCTAAATTAGTCAATTATAAAAGTATCAAAAGGTATTTTATAAAAGAAAATATTTGAGTAAATTTTTTTAGATTTAAATAAAAAATTTATAGTATTTGGTTTATCGTTAAAATATCTGTAAATTAATTTACTGACTTTTACATAATTCTTATAAAATTAATTTTATGATTATTATATAAAAATTAATTCATAATTATGACACAACTCCTAATAAATAAATATGTATACAATACGAATACAACAAATTATGATAAATTAGGCAAAACAGCAAAAAATACGATATAATCAAAAAATCACTTCAGACGTCTTTATTATAAAGAAAAGATCGCCAAAATAAAAAAAAAGAATCTTGATGGGTGAATTTAAGACTTATATACATATATCTTATAATTCGTTGTTTCTTACTTTCCCGAAGTCTTGTTTTTCTGAATCTTATTTTTTACATGACATATTTCCAACAACTCATTTTAATGATAGAAATTTTTACCGAATGATCAAGCAATTTTCTAACAGCCCGATTTCTTGACATGATGTATAATAATAGGCTTTTTTACTGACAAGTTCTTTTCTTGAAAATGAATTGTTAGTATTATAGTTTTGGTAAAATAGTGTTTTAGTAAAATAGATTCGAAAAGTTAACCTATAACTAGCATAATTTGGTATATATGCTGTAATTTATATAAATGCTATATTTTATTATAAATATGAGAATTGCTATTAAATACTACCCCCTAATAAGAAATAACCTGCATAATATATGTGTACCAGATTAAGAAAAATTTTTAATAATGCACAAAAGGCAATTTTTTGAATTATAGACAATGTTTGACAAAACGAATGTTTGCTTTGCAGTATGCTACATCGAATTCAGTCATCAAATTTTAATTTAACTATGAACATAACCTTTTCTCTTAGTTAAAAATTATAGTACTATGTCATAACATGGGCAACCTAACTGATAGTATCACAACCACAAAGAATTTCAACAATACCTTCAACCTTCATAACTACAGTAAGTCACGTTTGCTATAACATAGTTCCTGTCTTTAGCTAGATCACTTACTTTATTCTAAGCAAAACACAAACTATAGTATAAAATCAATCTATAGTCATGCCAACAAAATTTGTCAATCCCATGATTTTGAGATAATCAGTTTCAAAATCTAGTATCAAACAAAACAGATACAATTAAACAGTAGCAATATTACCCAATCTATTTGAGACATCTCAAATTATGTGGTAAATACAGGTTTTGGCCATCAATTTCGAACACTCTTATCAAGAATGACCACCCCAAATAATAAAAATCAACTAACAATTATTTAAGAGTAGGCGTGTCCAAAATTGATAGCCAAAACCTGTAATATCCAAACAATTTCAGCAGTAATAATATGGCAGTGAATCTTAATATGATATTATTCTTCACATAGTTTGGAACATCCTAAATAGTTTGGGAAATGTCATCTGGCATAGTCTTGAAAAGTAACTCAAGGATAGACAAGTAGAAGTAGACAGGTAGAGATGTGGATGTGGATGGGCAAGTAGAAATAAGAATGTGGACGGACAAAAGGATATAGATAGATAAGTGGAGATAAGAATGTAGATAATTATATTAAAGAATTTTAGCTTAAAATAACGATACACAAAAATATTATCAAATAGACTTTGCTTGATAGACTGAATATAAAAAAAGAATCTGGCCTTGTATTTTCAGTAATTCAGTCGAATAGTATGCAAAAATTGATAAAAATCATGGAAATTACACCAAACCTTGTGAAAATCCTTCGTAGCTAAACTCATGACTTTTCAGGTTCAAAAGTACCATAAAAAATTCTGTTACAGAACTTACCAATTATTATAGTTAACAAATTTACTGGGAATGATTAAAACGTGCCAGTGATGAAACCATGATGGTAGCAATGACAAAAACACACTACCAAGAAAGCTACAGTGGTCTATTAACTATTAATACCTGGAAAAAAATCTATCTACAGGGGAATAAATAAATACAGGAATGATCAATAATTTATAGATCCATGTTACTTAGAGATGGTGTTTAATAAAACCATTTTGAATGGTTTTTAGATTATCTCTAAATTTATATAGATTTTTATTGTATATAATATTAGAATATTTCTATTATATTACTAATTTAGACATTTAGTTATATAAATATTTATTTAGTCAACTATTTAGACATTTAGTCATATAATATTTATTTAGTTAGCTATTTAGACATTTAGTCAAATTTAGAATTTCGACATTTTGACAAAAAATAATATTATGTCAAAATATATTTAGACACTTAATTGTCTAAATAGTTAACTAAATAAGGTATTTCGACTAACAACATTAACTTCATTAAAATGAAAAGATTCTGATACACCCTTAAGCTCACTTAGTATGCTAATTAAAGCTCATATTTCAAAAGAAATACATGTCTTAAAACATAATACACTAGGTTATAGGCCTAAAACTGCTAAACTAATTTGTAAATATCTAAAATGTACTTAGTTTGCTCACAATATTTTAATATAATAATATTTTAATAAAGAGCACCACCTGCATCCCTAGTGCCTGAAGCAACAGAGATACTCAAAAAAAAAATAAAAGTAGATTACATGTAGTATTATATATACTATATATTTATTAGTTAATTTAACATGCAAGAAAATGGTCTGGTTTAGAGAGAGTTAATTATATTATATATTAGAATTTAACTAAAAATACTAAATTATTTAATTACCTTATTTACAATATTCTTAACTATTTTAAGTCTATTAGTAACTATAAGGTTTACTACATGAGTATAATAGCATTGATGCAACAGGACTCTATTCATAATAAGCACATTTTGTTTATCTAACTTGCACTTTAAAAAAGCCATAGCATAATTATTACTGGTTGTATTGTCTAAGGTAACTGCTAATATCTGCAAAAATTATATCAATAAATATATCTATAAAGAAATTTACTAGATTACTAAATACTTACTTTAGATATAATGCCTTAATTCTTGAGATACTTAACATATTACTAATAACAGTCTTTGTATGAGGTGCAGAAACTAATTTAAATGCTAAAAGTAGTTTTCAAAGGTTCCATTTTTTATTAATAAAATGATCTAACAAAAATATAACAATTAAGTAATAGAAAAGAAAATAAATTTTATAAAATAAAACTTATAGTATCTGTGACAGCCATGTATTCAAGATTTTGGTTTGATGTTTATAAATTAGTTGTAAAGCTTAAATGTCTAGAAGCTTTCTGTACAGTCATATAAGCTTTTGTTTTGAGATCAGCAACACAGTTCTTACAATCTTTATATACTGTCTTATTACTTATTACTTTAAACTGTAGTTACAAATTTTTAACAAATTTTAAAAAACCTTTATGTTCAATCATATGAAAAGAATATATATGCATAATAATTCTATTTGCTAGACCTTTCTGACTTCTTTCTTGACAGAATTTGTAAAAAATGTTGCCTGATGAAAAAAAATACAATTTTTGTTGTAATTTATTTTTAATATACTTATTATATTTAATATTTTTTAGATACTGAATCAAGAAACTTGTTTCTGTGATACTATTATATTTAAAAGTAGTCTTACAATATATGCATTTAGTACAATTCACTAATAATTATAATTAGTTTAATATTTATTATTATAAAATGCCTAATACTATTAATTATTAACAGGTTAAAACAAAATAAGATTAAAATACAATTATATATAACATGAAATAAACAAGTTATCAAAAAATACAAATTTTGTAATGCATTTTTTTTAGCTTTTTTTAGTATTAAAAGTCTGCTTTAAGGTAAAATAATAATAAATAAATATAAATAGATTTTAAAAGCTAAATAGAAAACCTAAAATTTATTTTAATCAGATTTTATTATGATTTGTAACAATTATTTATACTCTTATATGGCAAATTTTTTTTAGTAAAATGTTTTTTTTTAAAGACTCAGAATTCTCTGCAAACTTTATACTTCTTACTAGCAGATATTACTTTAATATTAGAAGCAGAGATTACTTCACTATTTTCACTTTCACTAACAACTAGATCTATATTTGTTTTTAGATAAGCAATCTCATAACTATAGATGTATTCTTACTTCAATAGAATGTTTTTTTTTTAAAAAAAAAATTCAATCTTCTTTTATTTTATTTTTATTTTTTTTTTAAGTTAAAGTCCCTATTTTAGGAGTAGCAATGTTTTTATTCAAGTATATTAGAACATGGCATGCCACCAGAGGCTCACCTTACATTGGAGGTTACAACTAGTCACACGTGCACTTTTGGTGCCTAATTTA